TCTCCTGCAGAAACACAAAGGAAGATTTTACTTTCCTTGGCTCTCTTAGCAGTTGTGTCCTCTTCTCTGGGATATTGAGACCTCTGACGTTTATGTGAAATTATAGTGGGGCTCTTACCTAAATAAGAGTAAGTCATAGTTTAAAGAGAAACTAAAGACCTTCAAACGGAGAAAGAGAAGAGAAAAAGGGGGGAAGAGGGGGGGTATGGGTATCAAGAATCCCTTAAACAAGGGGATGAAATGCTTTAACAAGTATCAAAGCTTACTTCCACTAATAGGAAGAAGTGCCACTAAAGTCGTTTAAATGCAAGAACACTCTAAAAATACTTAATAAGCACTTGTATCACACTGGTGGGGGTAGTGGGAGGAGTGAACCGAGTTGTAGTATAATCAACAAACATTACATGAAAGTGTCATTGTATTGTACCTGCAGCTTACAGTCTTAAGAGCATGAAGAAAACTATTAACATAGAATAATACTGGTCATGTCTATTATAATTTAAGTTGTTAAACCTAGAATTGGTTTGGTCACCTAGTATTGATATATTGCAAACTGGGAAGAACTTGGGGCCACAAGGACCTGCCACAGGCATCCGCATAATGTATGTATATATGTGTATATGTATGTATGTGTGTGTGGGTGTTATGTATGTATGTATGTGTGTGTGTGTATGTATGTATGTATGTATGTGTGTGTATGTATATATATATATATATATATATATATATATATATATATATATATATATATATATACATACGTAATGTGTGAAACTCGAAAAATTAGAATATCGTGCAAAAGTTAATTTCAGTAATGCAACTTAAAAAGGTGAAACTAATATATGAGATAGACTCATTACATGCAAACCAAGATAGTTCAAGCCGTAATTTGTCATAATTGTGATGATTATGGCTTATTACAGCTCATGAAAACCCCAAATCTACAATCTCAGAAAATTAGAATATTACTTGCAATCAATAAAACAAGGATTGTACATAGAACAATATCAGACCTCTGAAAAGTATAAGCATGCATATGTACTCAGTACTTGGTTTGGGCCCCTTTTGCAGCAATTACTGCCTTAATGCGGCGTGGCATGGAAGCTATCAGCCTGTGGCACTGCTGAGGTTTTATGGAAGACCAGGATGCTTCAATAGTGGCCTTCAGCTCTTCTGCATTGTTTGGTCTCATGTCTCATCTTTCTCTTGGCAATGCCCCATAGATTTTCTATGGGGTTCAGGTCAGGCGAGTTTGCTGGCCAATCAAGCACAGTAATCCCACGGTCATTGAACCAGGTTTTGGTGCTTTTGGCAGTGTGGACAGGTCCAAGTCCTGCTGGAAAATGAAGTCTGCATCCCCATAAAGCTCATCTGCAAAAGGAAGCATGAAGTGCTCCAAAATCTCCTGGCAGACGGCTGCATTGACCCTGGACTTAATGAAGCACAGTGGACCAACACCAGAAGATGACATGGTTCCCCAAATCAACACAGACTGTGGAAACTTCACACTGGACTTCAAGCATCTTGCAGTTTGTGCCTCTCCATTCTTCCTCCATACTCTGGGTCCTTGGTTTCCAAATGAGATGCAAAAGTTGCTCTCATCAGAAAAGAGGACTTTGGACCACTGAGCAACAGACCAGGTCTGTTTTTCTTTAGCCCAGGTAAGATGCTTCTGATGTTGTTTGTTGTTCAGGAGCGGCTTGACAAGAGGAATACGACATTTGAAGCCCATGTCCAGATCCATCTGTGTGTGGTGGCTCTTGATGCACTGATTCCAGCCTCAGTCCACTCCTTGTGAAAGTCCCCAACACTTTTGAATGGCCTTTTGGACCAACACCAAAAGACTGACAATCCTCTCCAGGTTGCGGTCATCCCTGCTGCTTGTGCACATTTTTCTTCCACACTTTTCCCTTGCACATAACTTTCTATTAATGTGGTTTGATACAGCACTTTGGGAACATCCAACTTCTTTTGCAATTACCTTTTGAGGCTTTCCCTCCTTATGGAGGGTGTCAATGATGGTTTTCTGTACAACTGTCAGGTCAGCAGTCTTTCCCATGATTGTGATTCCTACTGAACCAGACTGAGAGACCATTTAAAGGCTCAGGAACCCTTTGCAGGTCTTATGGTTTAATTAGCTGATTAGAGTGGGACACTTTGAGCTGAGAATATTGCACCTTTTCACAATATTCTAATTTTCTGAGATTGTGGATTTGGGGTTTTCATGAGCTGTAAGCCATAATCACAATTATGACAAATCACAGCTTGAACTATCTTGCTTTGCATGTAATGAGTCTATCTCACATTAGTTTCATCTTTTAAGTTGCATTACTGAAATAAATTAACTTTTGCACGATATTCTAATTTTTCGAGTTTCGTGTGTGTGTGTGTGTGTGTGTGTGTGATATAGATATTATATATATATATATATATATATATATATATATATATCTCTCAAAATAATGAAAGGAACACTTTGAAAACACATCAGATCTCAGTGGGGAAAAATATCATGCTGTATATCTGTACTGATATGGACTGGGTAATGTGTAGGAATGTAAGGATGCCCCATCGTTTGATGGAAATTAAAATTATCAATCTACAGAGAGCTGAATTCAAAGAAACCCTGAAAGTCAGTGAAAAATTGATGCAGCATGCTGGTTCATTTTGCTGTAATTTCATTGCAGCAACTCAAAATGGTACTCAGTAGTTTGTATGGCCACCATGTGTACTTATATGCATGCCTGACAACATCGGGGCATGCTCCTAATGAGACGACGGATGTTGTCCTGGGTTATTTCCTCCCAGATCTGGACTAGGGCATCATTGAGCGCCTGGACAGTCCGATGTGCAACCGGGTGGTGTCGGATGGACTGAAGCATGATATTCCCTCACATTCCTTCTGTACTGAAATGTATTGTAATTGTACTGTCTCCCTTATATTGTAGAGCACTGCGCAAACTGTTGGCGCTATATAAATCCTGTATAATAATAATATTCCAGAGGTGTTCTATTGCATTTAGGTCAGGCGAGTTTGGGGGCCATTCAGTGGTATCAATTCCTTCATCCTCCAGGAACTGCCTGCATATTCTTTCCACATGAGGCTGGGCATTGTCGTGCACCAGGAGGAACCCAGGACCCACTGCACCAGTGTGGGGTCTGACCATGGGTCGCTGAACGCCGCCAATATTAGTATAAAAAAATTCCAGTATCTATATCGCCATTTGTAAACTCTATAACTTTCACATAAACTAATTAATTTACATGTATTGGGATTTTTTTTTTTTTTTAGCAAAGACATGTTGCAGAATACATTTTTGGCTAAATTTATGACGAAATTTGATTTTTACATTTTTTTACATGTTTAATAGCAAAAAGTCAAAAATATTGTTTTTCCCTCAAAATTGTCAGTCCTTTTTTTTAAAGCACAAAAAATAAAAACTGCACAGCTGATCAAATACCACAGAAAGAAAGCTCAATTCCTGGGAAAAAAAGGACGTAAATTTAATTTGGGTGCAGCATTGCATGACCGCGCAATTGTCAGTTAAAGTAACGCAGCGACGTAATGCAAACCGCTTCTTTAACTGCTTCCTGACCGCCCTGTAGCAGAAATACTGCTACAGGGCGGCATGGGTGCGCGAAATCACGTGTGTATATATACGTGATTCGCGCTCCCATGGTTTTCACACCCCTCCCAGATAGTATCAGATTGCCCGTCAGTACACCAGTAATCACATTTAACCCCTTGATTGCTAGGAATACGCTCATACACAGTAAACCTCCATTGCTAGTATAGTGTCTGAACGGATCAATATCTTTGATCAGATCATCACTAATGGGACAGTGTGAAAATAATTAAAAAATAAAATAAAAAGCACCCTCGCCCCCCCCCCCCCCCCCCCCCCCCGCATGCGCATAAATCTATAAAGGTAGCTTGTAAAGGCTTTTAAAGCGTTGGCTATGGATATTAAAAATGTATGCAGTTTGTTGCCATTGTACGGGGCATGCACTGTTTTAAAGCATGTCATGTTTGGTATCTATTTACTCGGCATACTATCATCTTTTATATTCTACCAAATAATTGGCCAATATATTGTGTTTTTGTGCATTAAAAGTAAAAAAAAAAAAAAGTTTTTTTTTTTTGCAAAAAAATTTGCGTTTGAAAAATCGCTGCGCGAGTACTGTGTGACCTAAAAAAAATTGCAGCACCCACCATTTTATTCACTAGGGTATCTGCTTTAAAAATTATATAATGTTTGGGGGTTCAAAGTACAAATTAAAGCCACAGTCCAACTCACACGTTCTAATCCTTGACAACAATTATTATTTTTTTTTTTCCTTTTTGGAATAAAGATTTTACAGAAATAAAAGCTGATCATTGTAAGCACCCCTGTCAGTGATAAATGGTTTGTCTCATCCTTGAAAACTGATAAATATAGAAGAGAGCTTGTTCCTTTAAAAAACAGACTTAATTGCCAGATCACCAGATGAAAATAGAAGAAAGCAAGCCTAAAAAAGAAAACTAATGCAGCCATCACATCTAAGAACTGGTGAGCTGCAACATAATGAATGCTTGCTTCTGGGTTTAATATTGCTTTCATAACTGCAGAGGCTCTGTTGCTAAAGAAGGCTTTGGGGGGAACTTACTAAAACTGGAGTAGACCAAATCTTGAACAGCTGTGAATTGTAAACATATTCAGTTTGCTTCGTTTAAATGACACTAGGGTTGCATTTACACTGATGCTCTGTGGTTTGCCCACACTGTGGGTTCAGTGTATCTGAAGCTTTCCTGCAGGTTTTTTTTTGCACATAGCTGTAGACTTCTATTATATCCTATGGGCTTGCTGCTCTTACCATAGACTTCTATTCTACCCTGTGGGTTTAGTGCACTTTCTGAAATCCTTATTTTCAAAAATAATCTATACATCTCCAGATCTCTTTGTTTAATTTATTATGTATGTAATATATCCTGGTTTCATAAGGTTTCTGTTGTTTTACAGGGCATTTTCCATTTCCAGTTAGGGAGAGGAGAACCAATGCTGCACACCCGCCTGCGTCCTCATTGTAAAGAGTTTTTGGAGAAGATTGCTAAGCTGTATGAGTTGCATGTTTTCACCTTTGGTAGCAGGCTTTATGCACATACTATCGCAGGTCAGTAGTAATGCCAAATGTAAATGTCCACAATCAAGTGCTTGTAAACCGCTGACATGATATATGAACAGAGCGTAATCACTCTATAGTGTTTACTTGTTGCAATCCAGAGCATTAAGTGTAATTTCTGTCTGCTACTTCGTTCTGATTTCTGCATGAGTCACTTCTGACAAGTTTTCCTGACACCAAGAAAAGTTGACAAAGGAGGGAGTTCCAGCACACACCCTGTGATTGACAGCCTCAGCTCTGTACCTGTGTGCTTTGTGAAGGAGTGTGTGTCCCTTCCCTTCAATCAGGTCTCAGTTCTTGCTGAGATCTGTAGAGTGTAACATCAGCTTCCCACTCCCAGTTTTATTTCTTTTTTTTTTTTTTTTCTTTTTTTTTTATAATGAAAAAAAAACACCCAGGAGATAACCATTACCATAAAAAGTAAGTCCGAATTTACCTGAATAAAACAAGGTGTGAACTACCTGGAAACTCAAAATAGTTGCTATATGTATGGGTTTATTGACACATGTCAAAGTTGCAAAACTGCAGGCATTACCATTTGTTTTACCCTCATTCACTAAGGGGTTTGCCTAGGTAGTTGTTACTGTTCTATGGACAGCAAACTGTTAAGAACCAGCCTAATTTGAACATATTATGATATATGGGATAAAACAGTTTCAAATGAAGTTGCATTCTCAATTACATATAGTTGCCATTAAAATGCAAACCTACTTGAGCACAAAGTTCAAAAATGTAATTTACACAAGGAAAGCATTTTTTACTTGGAAGAAACATTTTGGACATCTTTTGAGCACTAGAGGGCAGTGCAATGCTGCAAAATAAATCTCAACGCGATACCTTATCATAGGAGTGCATTTAGATTTTACAACCTTTGAATTGTGTTATTCAGTCAATTTTTATTTTAATAATGTATACTGTTTTTAATATACAAATATTTATGAAAAAAAATATGCAGAAAAATCCACATACTCAAACCACTCATTTTCTGCTTTGTTTTCTTTTAATTGTGGTAAATTCCATTTTCAACAGTTCACATGAAAAATAGCCCTTAAAATCTATAATCCAGAGGCTCTTCTTATCCTCAATGGCTGCTCACCATGCTTTGTGTCTTTGGCTAGAATCGGATCTACTGCTATTTTACATCTGCCGTGAAGGCAGGTAAGCAGGTAATGAACAGTGTTTGCACAGGATGGACTTTGTAGTCAGGTGCTGAAATGTGTGATGAAAGGTTACCTTGGTATTATTCTTTGCATCATGGTGGCACAATGAATATGCATTACCACAGCCTATATAGCTGGAAGAACACCACTTTCATCTTGTATTTCCTTAACTAAACCTGAGTACCCTGCACCATGGTCCCATTAGGTCTCGTCAGGCCCTGGAACTATCTGGACACAGTTGAGAATCATTTCTGATACAGTAGATGGTCCAAGAAGCCCTCATACTCTAGTACCATCCTTCGTTTCTGTTCCTCTTCATATTTGGATACCCACATCTGTTTTGGTGCCTGGTCTTTGTTGGACTACACCAGCAGTCTCCAAACTGCAGCCCGGGGGCTGCATGTGACCCTTTCCTTGCTTTTATCTAGCCCTTGGGGCATTACTCCTCCCACTGATACCATTAATTGGGCACTTTTCCTTCCACTGACACCAATGATGGCGCACTATTCCTTCCACTGACACCAATGAAGGCGCACTTTTTTTTCCCCCACTGATATCAATGATGGGGCACTATTCCTCTCATTGACACCAATAACAGGGCACTCCTTACACTCACACCAATAATGAGGGACTATTCCTTGCACTGACACCAGAGAGAGGGCACTATTCCTCCCACTGATACCAATTTTGGGGCACCTTTCCTCCTGATACCAATGATAGGGCACCTTTCCTCCTCCTGATACCAATGATGGGGCACCATTCCTCCCACCGATACCAATGATGAGGCATTATTTTTCCCACTAATGATGGGGAATTTTATACTTTCATTGACACCAGAGTCTTTTCTACTTACACTGGCCACAGTCTGGCCCCCTCAGAGTCTAAAGGACAGTAAAGTGGCCCTTTGTTTAAAAAGTTTGGAGACCCCTGGACTACACCCATCACCATTACCTTGATGTGGTATTGTAATCGGCTGTTTTTAACCTGTTGGCACAGGCGCACGCAAATATGCGGCCTCTTGGCGGTTGGGCGTTGGCGCTAAGGGGCCGCATATTTGTGTACCCAATGTAAACAAAGGATGTGCCGAGAGAGCTTGCCCTGCGCGCATACTGGCACATTTATCGGCGCCTCATGGAAATTTCCTGATCGCTACTTGTGGTCAGGAATTTTCCAATCTTGTGACTGCCTTGACAGCCAATCATGGTGGTCACATGACCCTAAATCCCAGCCCACCTTCAAACCCCTTAAAGGTCCTGAAGGCATTGGCGCCTAGGGGTTAAACTAGTAGCACAGCTCCTGAAGAAGCGATCTTTATTGCAAAACATGTCGAGTTTTGACCCCAACTTTATAAGAAGCCCGGTCAAGTTATTTAGCCAAATCATGGCCTGTTCACATCGCAGGGAGTCTTGATAGTATTTGGGTGGTTTGGAAAATTATTTTTTAATATATTCTAACTTGTGTTTCAGTATTGTATTAATTGTGAATTTATAATAAAATTTATACCTTTTTTTTATATGGAAATTGTAGTGCTTGTTTACACCGCAGTCCCCCCACATTCATTTTGCAGTTCTGCATTCACATTTACATGCATATGTAATGGATTAGCAGTGTTTCTGTGGTGTTTCTTCAGCAATATGTATTTATTTTTTGTTATATTGCATTTACTTGTGTTTTGCAGTGTGTTAGTGTATAAGAAAAATGTTTTTGGTTCCTTGGGAGGCACAGGTGCAGCATCTAACCCTGCTGCCAGCAGCCTGTCCAAATTTAAGAGGCCGAAATACGTTGCTAGCTTGATACTGAACCCAGCAGTGCTCACACTTGGGGTCGTATATGTTTAGGGACATATTCCCCAATTGCAGGAATTGTGTGTTTGAGGCATATGTGTTTCAACTGATGGGGCCTTAAACACGTGTACTGCTCAGTACAGTGTCCAGCCACTGTGTACTTCAACTTGTCCTAGATTTTGACAGGCTGCTGGCAACAGGGCTGGAAGCTGCACCTGTGCATCCTGCCCCAGAACACTGAGATTTGGTGCACATGGATCAAATAGCCAGTGTCCATTTAACATAACTAAACTGTTTTGCCAGTGCTATACCCTAGTCTGTACATGATCTACATTTACCTGGAAAAGCTTTTTTTTTTTTTTTTTTTTTTTTTTTTTTTAAAGTTTTGGATTGAGTGGAGAAGAATTAGAACACCTGTCTGATTTCTATTGCTGTCTGTTCTCCCGTCAGGGAGATTCACCCTTTCTATTTGTCCTGTTTACCAGTTTACCATTATCATCTAAAGTTATAGAAACCCCAAATTTTGTGCTGTCCCCAGAAGAGTAATGGAGGGGAAATTTTACAATGGGGTTACTAGTTCCCGTAACCTGGGGGCCGGCCCCCAAGCTATTCCAATAATTTACTGAGATTTTCTCACTTCCTGTTTTTGACTTTGGGACAGGAAGTAAAGGTAACTCTCCCAAAGGGACACAGATGGCAAAAAATAAACAGACAGAGGTTATAACCCCTCCCTTACTTTATCCAAAATTGAAAACAAATAAGAAGAAAAAAGATTTTGGCTATAGTTCTACTTTAAAGTATTTTGTGAACTTTATCTACATCATGCAATGCTTTCTTGGTAAGCACAATCAGCTTAACCACTTCAGTAATGGACAATTTTACCCCCTTTCTGCCCAGGCCAATTTTCAGCTTTCAGCGCTCAGTTTGAATGACAATTGTGTGGTCATGCAACACTGTACCCAAAGTAATTTTTTTTTATCATTTTTTTCACACAACCAGAGCTTTCTTTTGGTGGTATTTAAACGCTTTAGTGCCGCGCCATAGCAGATATACTGCTACAGGGCAGCAGCTGTGCACAAAATTATGTAAACAAAACTGTTCTCTCCCCTGTCGGCTCCTGCACAATGTTTTGCATGGCTGTACATAGTACAGCCATGCAAAGCAGTGTGCTTACATTTACAGTGAAGTACTAACACAGTACAAAAATGTCAGGACAGTACAGATATCCCCCAAATGACCCCTTTTTGCAAAGTGTACAGTCCGAGGTATTTAGTAAGAGACATGGCAAGTTTTTTGAAGTTGCAATTTTTTTTCCATAAATATTTGGAAAATGAGATTAAAAATTTTTTTGTTTTTTATAATTTTTTTGTTTTATTTTTTTTCTTTCTTTAATATTTATTAATACCTATAGCAAAGAATTTCAAGTGGAGGTCCAGGCTGAATTGACTCTTGCCTGTCCCATGATCCCACGGTGTCCTCACACTGGCAGGGTTGACTGTCCATCCTGTCTCCTCAGCATCGGCATCTTCACTGTGGGCACCCGGCTTTGACAGCTTGTGGCTGCGAATAGCGTTCTGCGCATTAATGGTCTCGTAGTCTTCTGGGACCTGTCACGTGTCCCAGAAGGCTACAGGACAGAAGAGGGGAGGTCAACTTCTGATTTCCTAGGCAATTGCAGCGGAAGTGGGAGTGTGTGCCTGTCAAATTTAGGTAGACCGCCCCTCACCCCCCCCCCCAAGAGGTGCCAATCTTTAACTGGGAGTGAGGGACATAGCCTTAAAGCGGAACTTCCCCTTTTGGGTGAAGCTCTGCTTTAACTGAAATCGATTCATTCAGGTTTTTTTGTTGTGATTAGCTTTGATTGGCCACGAGACACAGATGTGCTGTGATTGGCTCAGTCTGTACATGTGGTCACTGTGACCAATCACAGCTAGTGACACAATTGTATACAATGGATGGCATGAAAGGAAGTCATCCATTGTTTACAATCCTCATGTCACCTGCTGTGATTGGTCACAGCAGGTCACATGGTACTGGCCATGGACCAGTACACAGATCTGTCATCAGCTGTGTCCAAGGTACACAGCCGGTGACAAATCTCGCCACAGCGCTGCCCGGGAAGGACGTCATATGACGCCCAACCAGATCGACGAGAGTCCCGCTCAGCCATCATTCTCCTGTTTGGATGGGAAACAAGTTAAATATGCTAGAGCATATGCTGTAAAAATTTTGAAAATGTTTAAGTACCTTTTTTTTCTTATCCTCTCTTTTTTTTCTTTATTTTTTTTCTTGCTCTGTGCTGGTCACGCTACTGCTGTGTCACTTTTCCACTTCCAGCTCGATTTAGGTAGCCAGTCAATCTAGAGCAAAGTACAAGAGCAATGAGCTGGAAATATGTGACTGACTGTTATCCCAAAGCAAAGTTTCCTTGCACTAAGTGGAGAAACAATTTATCTGAAGTCATGGATGAGAAGACAAAAAATAAAATATCTGCACCAACATAACATTTTTTTTTTTTTTTGCTTGTAATAATAGATCGTTAGGATTTTATTATTGATCTTTAGGATTTTAATTATTCTTAATTGATTTTACATAGTGTCATATACACTATATTGCCAAAAGTATTGGGACACTTGCCTTTACACGCATATGAACTTGGCATCCCAATCTTATGCAGGGCATAGACGGGGAGAAAAACCGGCCGTTTTTTTTTTTTTTCTTCATCAAAATGAAAAATCGGCTGACGTTACCACCATTGGTAAAAAAAAGTCGGCTGATTTTCGTCCTGTCTATGACCGGCAAATATAATAGCGGTGTCCCTGCAGAGAGCTCCCCTGTTATATTTGACAGAAGAAATAGAATATGAATAAGAAGTAAAAGAAGAAATAGAATATGAATAAGAAGAAATAGAATATGAATAAGAAGAAATAGAATATGAATAAGAAGTAAAAGAAGAAATAGAATATGAATAAGAAGAAATAGAATATGAATAAGAAGAAATAGAATATGAATAAGAAGAAATAGAATATGAATAAGAAGTAAAAAGAAATAGAATATGAATAAGAAGTAAAAGAAGAAATAGAATATGAATAATAAGAAGAAAAAAAGTTGCAACATTGTTTCTATTTGTATCCATTTTGGATACAGATGTTTCTATTCGGATACAAATAGATATAATGTTGCTATAATTTTAAATGTCAATTATAATATCAGACTGAAATTCTTTTTTTTTTCTTATTCATATGCTATTTCTTCTTCTTATTATCCATATTCTATTTCTTCTTTTCTTCTTATTCATATTCTTTTCCTTCTTCTTGCTGGTCACTGCTCATATGCATTTTTTTAAAATCCGTAAAAAAGATCGGCCGATATGTCCATCATTGGTGCGAAAATCAGCCGAACGACAAAATTGGCCAATTGTTTCCCCAACACGACCGACAAAATCATGAAAAACGGCCGACCAATTACCCCACTAACAATCTGAAAATCGGCCGATTTATTTATTTTTTTTCCCGGCCGATAAATTAGCCGATTTTTCTCCCGTCTATGGCCTGCATTAGTCTGTAGGGTTGAATATTGAGCTGGCCCAACCTTTGCAGCTATAACAGCTTCAACTCTTCTGGGAAGGCTGTCCACAAGGTCTAGGAGTGTGTTTATGGGAATGTTTGACCATTCTTGCAGAAGCGCATTTGTGAGGTCAGGCAATGATGTTGAATGAGAAGGCCTGGCTTGCAGTCTCCGCTCTAATTCATCCCTATAAGGTTAAGATCAGGCCAGTCAAGTTCCTCAATCCCAAACTCGCTCATCCATGCCATTATGGACCTTGCTTTGTGCACTGGTGCACAGTCATGTTGGAACAGGAAGGGACCCTCCCCATACTGTTCCCACAAAGTTGGGAGCATGAAATTGTCCGAAATGTTTTAGTATGCTGACGCTTTGAGTTCCCTTCACTGGAACTAAGGGGCCAAGCCCAACCCCTGAAAGACAACCCCACAACATAATCCCCCCTCTGCCAAACTTTACACTTGGCACAATGCAGTAAGGCAAGTACCGTTCTCCTGGCAATCGTCAAACCCAGACACGTCCATCGGATTGCCAGACAGAGAAGTATGATTGGTTACTCTAGAGAACACCTCTCCACTGCTCTAGAGTCCAGTGGCGACGTGCTTTACATCACTGAATCCAACACTTTGCATGGCACTTGGTGATGTAAGGCTTAGATACAGTTGCTCAGCCATAAAAACACATTCCATAAAGCTCTCTACTCGCTGTTGTGCTAATCTGAAAGCCACACGTAGTTTGGAGGTATTTAGCTATTGACTCTACAGACAGTTGGCGACTTCTGCACGCTTCAGGATGTGCATGACCCCACTCTGTCATTTTACGTGGCCTACCACTTTGTGGCTGAGTTGCTGCTGTTCTCAGTTGCTTCCACTTTGTTGTAATACCACTAACAGTTGACCGTGGAATATTTAATAGCAAGAAAATTTCACGTTATGACTTATTGCACAGCTGGCAACCTATCACGGTACCACGCTTGAATTCACTGAGCTCCTGAGAGCGACCCATTCTTTCACAAATGTTTGTAGAAGCAGTCTGCATGGCTAGGTGCTTGATGTTATACACCTGATTGGAACACCTGGATCCAATGATTTGGAGGAGTATCCCAATACTTTTGGCAATATAGTGTACATTAACCTCTTGGCGCCGGAAGAACGCAACTGTGCGGCCTCCTGGTAGCTGGGCCTAGATGCCGAGCAGCCGCACATTTTTGCGTTCTATTAAAAAAAAAAAAAAAAAATGTGCTGAGAGCAGGTGCGCTGTGTGCTCCCAGCACACATGTCCGGTACTCACTGAAAGGTACCGATCTCCTCTTTCGATCGGAACCTTTCCTGATCATGTGACCACCATGACGGCGTGTCACGGCGGTCACATGACACTAAAACCCGCCCCACCTCCCGGCTTCTGAAACCCTTAAAGGGGCGGGAGATGGTGACACCAAGGGGTTAATAAATATAGTCCTTTCTTGCCATTGTCACCCAGTATGTGTTTCAAGTTTTGTAATTTAGTTTGCTTCCATTTTTGTACAAGTATACGTGCAGCAGTGTCTTTTTCTGTGTCCCTCTTTTGTTTACTGGCTCCTGTCTGTCTCCAGCGGTTCTCCTCTGGTTTTCATAAAGGTGTTTTGTCCCCTCCCATCAGAGCCAATCTGTGTTCCTTATAAATTAAGGCTCCTGGCATACAATCGGGCTGCTTTATAAAGGGGGCAGAGCCCTGGAAACGCATAGCGGCTTTTCCTATTGCCAACATCACCAGCCACAGTTGACAGGTTCTTCCTGCCCGTCCATTCCTAATATCACTGTTGGATCTTGACAGCTGCTAATTCTCCCATGATGGAGGACACATCTGCTTTGCCTGCCAGTTCATAGAGCAGTGTATAGTGTTCACTATTCCCTTGCCTGCTGAATGTCCTACGTGGCTTCCTATGGCTGTAATACTCCATCATGTGTGCAGTGCCAGTGTTGGTTCCTACTTGCTGAACATTGTTTTTAACATGTAAGAGTCCGATTTTAATTTAACTTGTTGTGCATTTTGTTTTTCTAACTCCAGTGCTTTTCCTGTCTTCTACAAACATATTATAGTTGAGACCTTGATTTTTAGCTTGCCAAAGGAGTTGTCAGATCTGCTTTAGCATACCGTTCGGTATATTTGAAGGAAACCATTATAGATGGCATGCTGATGCTGACAGGGTATGCTCGATAAAGGCTTTAAATCTGATGAAGAAATGCATGGTAGGGGTATAGTTCTGATTTTCCTCATCCAGTTCCTCTCTGTAGAGGAGCAATTTGAAGGAGGGGGGGGGCGGTTCTCAAAGCATGAGTAGAGGAACCTTGGGTATACGTACCCCTGTAACACCAAAGATAAAATTTTGGACTTGGTCCCAAAAGATGGAAACCCCTTGGCAATGCCAGAAATGATGCAGTAATGCCAGTGCAGGCATGTGGAAGACTGAGAAACTGCTTTAGAAGGAAGAAATGGTATGAAGGCCCTGTGGATCAATTTAAACGAAGTCTCTCTCCAAGGTTCATTTATCATATATTTGCTTATTTTATTACAACCTTCAAGAAGTTTGTCTACAAGAGTGTCTTCCAGAAAGTCCTTGTTCCTCTTTTTCAGATTGGTGGCAGAACTGAAGTAAGTGTTTAATTGCGCATAGAGGTCAGAGATGGCGTAATTGTGTTTCCTTTGCAAGCTATCAAGAGTTGAAAATTTTTGTGGCACTGTTTTTCTTACCAGTCATTAGAAAAATGACTGCTAGACTTTGGTTATTATCATTGATACTGCCTTTTTCATTTACCATTTTGTCTTTTGTTCATTGCCGAAAAAGACAGTTTTATATAAGTTGCAACATACTATATGCATGTTAAGGTTCCTGATGTCATTTGTACGCTCACTTCATGGCAGCAAATAAGCCCTATGTGATTCTTTAGTAGGCAGTGCACACTAATTTTATCTTTTTTCTTGTTTTGCTTTGTAGGGTTTTTAGATTCTGAGAAGAAACTGTTCTCTCATCGAATATTATCTAGGGATGAATGCATTGATCCATATTCCAAAACAGGAAATCTTAGGTTTGTATTTGCATCTTGTTGGCTCCTTTTTAAAATTGGATTTAATTTTTTCTTTCCTAGCACTCCAACGAACACTTCCTTTTCACAGATTTGTTTTATTTCTAAGAAAATATATTTGTTCTTTACAGAACACTTTTTACTTAGAACTGTTTATTCCTTAGTACCTATTAGGACCTGTCCGTTCTGATGCATTGCGTTAGGCAAGCCATAGATAACTCATTTCTTTTCTTCCACCATTGGTGGAAGCAAAGAAAATTGCTTGATTTCCTCATAAACACAGTCAGTGTTGATGGGGGAATCCTTCCTTGAGCACTATTGTGTTCTGCCAGCATAGGGGGTGCGGGGAGCCTTCCTGGCTGGCAGAACAGGATGATTACTGCTAGTGGCTATAGCTGCAGGCGGTAATCACATGCAGAAAAATCTAACAGGCTGGTTGTACCCAAGTTTATCAGTGGATCGACTTTGGTGCAATCAGCCTACCCATAGATGTATTGAATCTCGACTGATTCAGCAGGGATCCATCTATGGCGGACTTTAAGCCAATGCATGTGGACAGACAAAGAAAATCAAACCTGCTCCTTTTTTGCTAAAAACAGTGCATCACCATGCACAGTAGTGTGGGTTGAATGTGCAGTTTAGTGCGTTTTGGGTGCCATTTAATGAGTAAATGGCACTGCAACACACTGTTTTTAGCTTGAGAAGGTTTACCCTGCACTGATAAGTGAATCTCCTCCACACATCCTTTATGGATCTTCTGGAGCAAGGCTTCATTGTGCTTTTGCCCGTAGTAAAACCGTTCAAGGGGTTCCAATCCAGCTTGTTCAGTTCCCAAACTAAAAGGGGTCATCGTCTCACCTTGGATCTAAAGGTCCTAAATGTCTTTATTCAGGCCCAGATATTCCAAATGGATTCCCCTAGGTCTGTTATGGCTTCATTTCAGCAGAGAGAGTTTTTGGCTCTGTGGACCGTAAAGACACTCACCTGAATGTCCTTAATTTTTCCAGCATACCTGCGATTTTCTTTGGTTTGCTTTGGGTCCTCTGCACAGTTTGTGGCACTGCCATTCAGCCTGTCCTCTGGGAATTCAACAATGTGCTGGCCCCTGTGCTTGCCTTACTGTGCTTTCTGGGCATCCCCATTGTGGGAACATTTAGACGAACTCCTGTTGAAGGAACCATCAGCAATGGTTCAGATGGACAACCTAGCTCTGACTATCCAGACCTTGCAGAGGTTTAGAAAGTCTTGAACTGTCAGGAATCGACTCTGAAAGCGACTCATTGCTTGGAACATCTGGGTCTAATCCTAGACACTGTTCAAATTCTTCTTCCATAAGGTAACTTCTGACTTTCCACTCCCAGACCTGGACTCTTCCTTCCACGAATTGACTGTCTCTTCCTGTCTGCATGAGAGTCCCACTGCTGATGGTAGCTTCCTTTTTGAGGAATTCTCATTTGCCCATTTTCACTCTAAACCCTTACAACAAAACATCCGGTTCAGTGAAGTTGTAGGACAGACGGTGTTTTTTTTTTTTTTTAATTTGCCACCGTCCTGCATGTCCCTGGCTTGGTGACTCAAGATTCCTGCTCTGGAGTCAGGGGAGAACCTTTCTTCTTGTGTTCCTGAAGATCTTCACAGCAGATGCCAGCATGCATGTTGGGCTGGGAATGAGTCCTGGGTACCATATCGGTGGAGGGTTAAAAGGAATCTCCTGATCAACATTCTGGAATATCAAGCATTTGGTTGGACTACCGAACTTTAGGTAATTTGATCCAGATGTAGTTCATTCGCAGCACGAGAGGTAGAGCAGATCTTGTCCTGGGCTGAACTTTACGTTCTATGACTTTCTGCTGTTTACATCTCTGTCGTGGACTTTCTTAGCTGGCAACACTTGTACCTGCAGAAGTAGTCTCTAGACCCATAGGTGTTCCAGGATCTGTGTCAAAGGTGAGGGTGCCAGATGTGTGCCTCCAGGTTCAAGAACAGACTGGACAGGTTTACCTTACAGCCCCCTTTTGCAGTAGAAAGACTGTCTTTTGTCATTCCTGATGCATTTTGTTTTGCTATAGTTGGATTAGTTTTGTACATCCACACAGTCTGTGAATTAGTGTCTCTCAATGGAAGAGAGAGAAAACAAGATTTGTGTACTCTTAAAAATCCATTTCTTAGCGTCCATTTGTGATTACCCAAACTCAAATTCCAGTCAAAGCACTATATGCTTGAAGTTTATATATTCTCCCTGTGCTTGCATGCGTTTCCTCTTTGTACTCTGCTTTCCTCCCATACTCCAAATACATACTGGTTGATTGGATCTTTTCTAAACCGGCCATGGTATGTTTGTGAGATAGGGATTTTAGTTTGTCAGCTGCTTGAGGGCTGGATCTGGTGTGTTTACTTGCCAAATGTATTTATGCATTCACAACACTCATTTATATTTAAGCTGCATATTTAACTGTTTTCTTTAACCACTAGCCTACAGGGCACTTACACCCCCTTCCTGCCCAGGCCAATTTCCAGCTTTCAGCGCTGTCACACTTTGAATAACAATTGTGCGGTCATGCAACACTGTACCCATATGAAATTTTTATACGTTTTTTGTGACAGCTTTATTTTGGTAATATTTAATCACCTCTGGGTTTTTTATTTTTCCTAAACCAAAAACCACTGAAAATTTTGGGGAAAAAAACGTTTTTGTTATAAAATTTTGTAAATAAGTGATTTTTTCTCCTTCACTGATGTGCGCTAATGAGGCTGCAGTGATTAGCACTGATGGGCACTGGTAGGTGGCACTGATGGGCACTGGTAGGTGGCACTGATGGGCATTGCCAGGCATCACTGATGGGAACTGAAAGGTAGCACTGACTGGCGGCACTGATGGAGGACACTGAAAGGCCGCTCAGGTGGGCACTGATATGTGGCACTGGTAGGCACTGATATGTGGCACTGATGGGCACTGGCAGGTGGCATGGATGAGCACTGACAGCTGGCACTGATGAACACTGACAGGTGGCACTGCTGGGGCTACACAGATCATCAGGGCACACTGATCATCAGTGCCCTGATGATCAGTGTAGATGTCCCCTCTGAAGGATGCCGATTAGCAGCTCTGCTCTCCTCTTGAGCTGTCAGCGTGACAGCTCGTGAGGAGAGAAATGCCGATAACCAGCATTTTCATGCGGTCAGCTGTGATTGGACACAGCTGATCACATGACCGAGCTGACATCTTCGGCTCTTTCCGTTGATCAGTGATCCTCTGTGTCCGAGGGACACAGCACACCACCGATCACCACGCTGCGCGCTCCCGGAGCCGCGCATGCACGGTTAGGATGGGATGACGTCCTCTCGGAACAAGCGAACCGCCTTGCGCCCGTCATTTCACTATATGGCGGGCGGGAGGCGGTTAAACTGTTTCTAAACCCATGACCCTACATTCACTATATCCGGTCTTCCACAGTACACAGAAAATGGAAGTGCAATTATTTTAGTAAATATAAACTGCCAAATACCTTTTCTCTTCAGCAGTAGATAGCAGTTTTGTGACTTCTATTAGTGTCCAGCCGAGCACTGGCTAATCTTGTAGGAGGAGTCTTCATTCTCTCCTGACTGTCCTGTGAGCTGCATGCCCCCTACACCCCCCCCCCCCCATCCCCCTATCCCCCCCAACAAAAACACTCTAGCAATACAAACCAGGCAGAGAATCTTCTGCAGACTTGCCACTGCTGCTCTGTGGCAGATGGATTGGGGACAGTAAAAGGAGGGGAGGATCAGAGATGACACAATGCGAAGGATTAACCCTTTAGGTTCCATTGAGAGTATAACATGCTTTACTGTAGATACAGACTGATTTTACTGTTGTGGGTTTAGTAACACTTTAACAAACAGTGGCTTTTGTGACTAGTGTTTTTGTTGTCTCTTGTTGGAAATGCGCATACCAATACATAGGTTTTATAGGCTAAGTTTAAAAAAAAAAAATTGTGACTCCATGTGCAGCATGTTCACTTAAGTCCCCTTTCACACGGTGCTGAATCTGTTGGGATGAGCTGGGGGATCTGTGAGCTGATCGGAGCAGAGCAGGAGGAATACACAGCCTGCTCTGCTCTAGGGGCAACCAGGAGTAAACGGACTCTGCTTTCCGTTTTAAACTCTGCTACCTGATTCGCTCTGCCTTATTGGGAGAGGACCTGCGGGGGCCTGATTGGGCCCTGCGGTAGGTGGTTGTAAACAGATGAAGGTCTGTTTACACCCGCCTGTCCATAAGGATGAATGGACCTTCAATTGAGATCCACCTGAAAACTGGCAAGCGGACCTGATCAGAATGCCCGTCTGATTGGGGCCTAATATTCATTTTTTACAGACAGCATTTGGGTGTGATTTGACTGCAATATCTATGCCAAACAAAAACAAATATATCAGAATTTTTCGTTTCAAGTCTGCTTTATAGAAGGAAAACATTTTGGTGTCATAGCTTATTTGGACAAGCAGAAATTAGAAGCTGATTGGCTACCATGCACAGTTGCACCAGATTTTGCACCCTCCAGTTTTAGTAAATCAACCCCACAGTGTGCCTTTTTTATTGCATAGAATAAAACCTGGCCATATATATACTTTGTTTTGACCTGCAAACATTTCTTTTATCACCCCTTATTTGTGTGGATGTTGATAGTGGATACAAAAAAGCTAAATTGCTAATTTTTATGTAAATGTACTTTGAAATATAGGATATTTATATCTACATTTTGTTTGTGTAACTAAAACTTTTTTGCATCTGTTAGTTTTGCATACTACTTTATTTAATTTTGCTTTCAACCTGCCACCTTCACTTCTGCTGCCATGGTTGCAGTTCTAAGCAGAAGGTTGTTTAGGGATACTAATGTTAGCTTTGCAGAGGTGCTTGCAGGTTGCCATGGTAGCTGGAGGAAAGGGTATTAGGATATATTACAGACATTGTCAAACTTTCTTTCGAAATATTTTTTTTCATTGCATAGGAAAATGATTTAATATTATTTGTAGTACTGAAGGAATCAAATTTTGTTGTGTTCAACACTGGGCAGTTTTTTTAAATATAAACTATTGTTTGTAATATCATATTTTGAATTTTTATTTTTTTTAGGAATCTTTTTCCTTGTGGAGACTCTATGGTTTGCATTATAGACGATCGAGAAGATGTATGGAAATTTGCACCTAATTTAATTACAGTTAAAAAATATGTCTACTTTCAAGGCACGGGGGATATCAACGCCCCTCCTGGTTCCAAGGAGGCACAGATAAAGAACAGAGGTTAGTAACTTGTGTTTTAATTTAAAGTACTTTTTTTGTGAACCAATGTATGTGTACTTCGGTTTATTCTGGGTGTTGAGTTTCTTTTAGTGTGTCTGATTTCATGCACGCAAATACAATATAAATAAAAATTTTTTTTTTTTTGAAAAGCACTCAGTGTTGGTTGTACCAGGCTCCAGCCCCCTCCTTCTGCCACAATTGGATATTTAAAAAAAAAAAAAAAAAATTTTGGTGCTGCAGCACTTCCTCCCTTTTTGCCTGGGCGAGAATTACACTCTGCACATGTACACAGATGTGCTGAAGGTCTCTGCTGGGCTTCAGGACCCAGCAAAGACCTTTGCCAGATCTGTGCATGAGTGGCTTTCCTTGTGCAACAACGCCGCAGTGAAACAGGTCCTGAACCTCTTTCCAGATCGACAGTGGTGGTGTCGGTAGAGGTGGCGGAGCCACAATCAAGGGTACTGTACTTCTTCAAGTGCTTAACCACTTGCCTTCTGGGCACTTTTACCCCTTTCCTGCCCAGGCCAATTTTAAGCTTTCAGTGCTGTTGCGATTTGAATGAAAATTATGCGGTCATGCAACATTGTACTCATATGAAATTTTTATAATTTTTTTCACACAAATAGGGCTTTCTTTTGGTGGTATTTAATCGGCACTGGGATTTTTATTTTTTGCACTACTGTATAAACAAAAAAAGAGCACAAAATTTGAAAACTAACTTTTTTTCTTTGTTTTTTATAAACTTTTCCAAAGAGTTAATTTTTCTCCTTCACTGATGTGCGTTGGTGAGGCTGCACTGATAGGCAGCGCTGATGAGGTGGCATGGATAGCATTTTGATAACCTGCAACTGTATTTACTTTGTGTCATTGGACAAGCTGATCATGATGTAAAAGACTGCTGTGATTGGCCTTTTATCTCGTCATGTGATCAGCTGTGTCCATAGGACACATCACTCACTGAAAGCACCAGGTGCGCGCTGCTGGGGCTGCGTTCTGGGAGGACGTCCTATGACGCCCTCCTAGAACTGGACATCTGCGCTGTAGCTGTCTTTCGGCTATAGCACAGTTGTAAAGTGGTTAAAGGAGAAGTTCACTTTTAAATATAATGAATTAAATAAATAAATGCACAATCCGTTGCAGGTTAAAAAAAAAATGTGCATTTACTTTTTTTTTGTAGCACCCTGGAAAACATTGCACCTGCGATCAGCAGATCGCAGATACAGTACAAGACTCCTATGGACTGTCAGTGTAAGCTGTGTCACAGGTAGTTTCACAAAAACAGGAAGAATCCATGAACTACCTAGAGAACGCAACAGCGCCCTGGTAGTTGAGAACTACAAGTCAACAGCTGCAAAGAATTTTGGGACTTGTAGTTCATTCATTCACAGAACTCTGTGAATGAATAATGTGGCCATGTGGGCGGAGCCCCACACGGCCGCGCTATTTTTAAATAGTGTCAGCGGATATGGGGAGAAGATCCCCACCTGTTGTCACAGAGAAGGCTTGGATTAGGGAGCGGCTGCATGAATGGGAATATGTTACATGTTCCACCCTAAAAACAGGTGGACCATGTAACATGTTCCCAAAGGTGAACTTATCCTTTAAGTTTGTTCCATTCAATAGATGATGCTTGATCCTGCAGTACTGAAATATGTACTATTCTATAATCAAATTAAAAAAAAAAGTGCAAAGTGACAGGTGAAAAAAGGTCAATAAAGTAAGATTTTTCAGTTTGTGTATCTCCTTCCCACTAATTTACAATCAGCGCATTTAATAATGGAGAAACAAGAATTTCTGAGGACTTTTTTACGGATTGTGGCAATTCTTACCATTAATTGCCAGATGACATAATCTTGCTCCATGTCTTATTTTGCTGGAACTCACTATAGCAGCCTATTTTTGTGCATATGATGTTTTTGGCAGATGATCAGGAGGTGTATAATTCAGGTGATAGGTTGTGTGTTTTAATTTTTCTTTTTTCCATTAGGTTAGTCTTAGTATGTGGAATTCCAGTGGATATGTAAAAAAAATGTACATCCTTGTCCTATTTTTGTTTAATTTTTTTTGATCTGGACAAAACTGATTGTTGGTTCTTAGGTAATTGAACAAACATTTTTCGCTCTCCCCAGGTGTCAGCTTCCAAACCAAGGCTTAACGCTTTAATTTGTCTCAAGCCCTGGATTTCCAAGTCTTTCAAGCTTGCCCAGAAGCCCTCTTCACAAGGCGGTCTGTTGGCTTTTGCACCAGTCTTGATCCAGAATGTCCTTGACTTGGTTCAATCGGTCATTTCAAAGGGGTACAAAAATGTTTCTACCTCTGCCCCTCGTATTCTTCACTCAATAAACCATTTTATATTGCTCTGCTCCTCCAAATCTCTTATTCCTTTTTTTTTTTTACCTTTTTTTTTTTTTTTTTTTTTTTTTGGTGCTTGACTGTTTTGAGGGTGGCTGTGTTCGATCCCCTAGGTTCCACTGTATTTGGGACTGTAGCTACCTTGCCTTGCTCTCTCCTGGTGTGAACTAAAGATAATGAACTATGGTATTTGTAGTTTTCACTTCTCATTTCAAACGAATGGAAATGTGGGGTAGTAAAGGTTCGGGTATCCACAGAGAACATTAGGAGGATGAAAAACCCAATAAACAATTTCATGAAAAATTAATTATTGGTTTATTAGGTAGTGGAAATGTATGCATAATTTTTAAAGAATAAGCATATCTGTTAGTGCACCTTTTTAAATCTCTAAACACTTTTCCTATATCAAAATTCCATATGGAATCAACAAGATCTGTTATTGTTTCTCTTTCTCTCAGACAAGGAGAATTTCTTGTATCCGTAAATATACCAGATGCCCATTTACGTATTTACATCATTCCTCACATTGGTGCTTTCTGTATTTTTCAACACTGCTAATTTGTGTCACTATCAATGGGGCTCTCCTCTGCACACAGCGTGTTGTCAAAATTGTTTGCCCTACTTCAGTTCCTTCATAATTTTGGCTGGATAATCAACTTTCCAAAGTCTGCTCTCCAACCTGCACACTATCTGGAGTACTTGGGTCTAATTTTGGAGAAAATTACTTTCCCTTATGCCCCACACTTGGACCCTTGGGTGAAAACTGCACCCCAGCCGTTTGTATTTGCATGATTCTTCTGGACTTGATGTTTCTCGACCTCTTCAGTTTAGTATACTCTGGACCTGCAACAAATCCAATCCTTGGAAGCATCCCCATCCAGACAAGGCTCTCCTTGACATGGTGGATCTCCAATCCTGCCCTGGAATTGGGAAAGTCACTTCTTCACACCCCCTGGAAGGTGATTATAATGGATGCCAGTCTTGCAGGGTAGTGTGGAGTTTACAACTCACTGACTGTCTTATGTGACCTGGCCCCCCCACAGGAGTCAAATTCCCATAAACATTCCGGAACAAGGAGCCATCAGATTATCTCTACAACAGTGGACCTCCTCTCTGCAAGGTCACCCAGTCAGTGTCCAGTTGGACAATGCTACAGTAATGGCGTACATAAACCATCAAGGGGGAACTGGAGGTCAAGCAAAACAAGTCTGATACTCTTCTGTGCAGAAACTTGCATTCTAACTGTCTCGGTCGTTCATATCCCTGGGGAGTGGTTTCTGTACCCAGAGATCTTTCAAAATCTCTGCCAAAGATGAGGAAAACCAGATATGGACACCCTGGCCCTCAGGTTCAACAAGCCGTACAAAATTTGTTGCCAGGACCAGGGATCCTCTAACCTTTTCAGTAGATGCACTAGTGATTACTTGGACACACTATAGGCTGGTTTATGGCTCCCCTCCAATGAAGATCCTCCCACAACTGCAGTTCAAGATAGAGGAGGAAAGGGTTTAGGTGATTCTCATTGCACCAAATTGGCCAAGAAGCACGTGGGGCCTTGGTCTCTTCAAACAGACCAGACTTACTGGCTCAAAGCTCCCTATGCCAGCCTGCTTCTCAGCCACTGTCTTTAACAGCATGGCTGTTGAAACCCAAATCCTAAAAGATAGAGGTTTGACTCTTGTTCCCACCTTACAAAGAGTAAGAAAATCCAGCTCCTGCCAGATTTACTATTTGCTGCAAGCACAGGATGCTTAATCCCAAAGAATACTCTTTCACGTTTTGGCCTTTCTTCAGTCTGGTGTTGACCAGCATCTGGCCCTGAGTACCCTAAAGGAGCAGGTTTCTGCCTTATCAATTCTGTTTCAGACCCCTCTTGTCTCAGTCCTTAATTGAAAGCTCTTCTTATAGGAGTTACTTATATAAATTTGACCTTCTGTGTCAGCTTGGACTGTGTTGGCAGGTGTTTCCTGTAAAGTGCCCTATATTTTTTTTTTTTTTTTTTCCACTTGGACCAGGTGGTTTTGAGACCAAAACCTTCCTTCCCACTTCAGGTGGTCTCCGCTTTCCACCCTAATGAGAACATTGTTCTTCCTTCCATTTGTTCTGTCTACAAACATGACGAAGAGATTGCCTGTAAATGGTCAGAGCGGTTGGTCTACCTGGCACCCATATTGTTCATAGTGGGTATCCTGCTTCCCACTCCCACCATTGCCAGGTGGTTTATTCAACTGCTCTCCAGGGCTTATGCCTTAGGGGCAAAGTCCCACCTTTCCCTAGCGGAGCCCATTCCACCAGGGTTGTTGGGCTTTTCAGCATCAAACAACTGCTGCGCAGATTTGCAGGGACGCCACTTGGTCCTCCTTTTCATGAGTTCTCCAAGTTCTACTTAGTTGATGTTCAGGCCTCTTTTGATGCGATCTTTGGCCACGAGGCACTTCAAGCTGTTACCTGAGTGTTTTGTTCGGGTTCATTACCTTTGTTATATTGTGGGTCTGGTATGCCATTTTACCCATTTCTCAGTTTATTGCTTGAGTATGTCTCATGGTCTATGGATACATGTCTTGTAATGTATGATTAGGATAATAGGATTTTTGACTTGATGTATGTTCCTTATCTTGGAATACAGTACAGGATACTGGCCCCCTCCTTTCAGTGTTTAGATCACTCCCTATTACTGGCTCAAAATAGACTGCAGTCTTGCGGAAAGGGCATGGTTAGGATTATGCTGTAGGGGTGGCCCTAGCAGATCCTGTTCTGTACTCCAAGATGAGATCTTTACAGACCAGTCAAAACATTTTTTTTGGGGGGGGGTCAAATATACCTTCCCCTTAGGGTCAGGCACCTAATGCTGAAAGCTAACCATCATAACTGAATAGGCCCATATCATGAAAAATATAATTTGACAATATACCTTGTGTAATTTTAAATTTGTCCTGTAAACATGATTAGAACTGTTAGAACGGTAAAGATGTGGAACTCCCTTCCACAGTTGTCAGCGGTAAACGTTAACGATTAAAAAAAAAAAAACTCTTCGGCATCTTAACGTAACCAATATACAGGAATATGGGATGTGTTAGCGACATAAATGCATGCACACACAGATTGAACTGGATGGACTGCTGTCTTTATTCAGCATTACCAACTATGTAATTTTAGTATATTGGTTTTACCCAAACACATTGTATAGTAGGTTATAGTGTACTGTATATTTATTTCAGCTATTTCTCCTTTCAAAAAAAAAAATCTTGCTTTTTAATTAGTTTAGAACAGGGGTATGCAACCTTAGGGTAGTGGAGATCTACCCAAACATGGAGACATTAAAGATCATCCTGTTCACGCTTGGGCGTAGCAGTAATGCAGGCAGAAAGAGAGGGTTTCTGCAAACGCATGAAAAACGTTCTAAAATGTACAACATGCTTGTGTTGCCATTATTCCTTAATGGCACCCCAAACATGGGAAGTACCCATGCATTTTTTGCACTTTCCATGTGACAAAATGCGCAATACAAAGTGCTTGGCTCATGTCCAAAGGTACATGAGCCTCTTTTAGTGGGTTTTGGAGTGGAGGGAGGCCCTCTCAAATGAAAGGTGCCACACTAGAAAGTGCAAAAAGTGTGACGCAGTAGCATCTGTTAAGTGTGAACAGGGCCTTAAGGGAGCTAACATAGTAAGGCCATGCAGGGCAGGAGTTCAGATGACTGGCAGAATGACATCACGCCTCCCCCTTGTTGTCTACACTGGTGATTTCAATGCTTGCTGTAATGGAAGAAGGAACGCCAAGGAGAGCAGGTAAGTGTGTGTGTGTGTGTGTGTGTGTGTGTGGTTTGGAGAGGCAAGGTGATCATGTCTCTTTAAGCAGATATGGTATGTAAAACTTGTACCTTTTTGCACATTTATGCTGATTAAATACAAAAACAATTTTAGAACATTATCATCACTGCTCTTTAATAGACTTTTTAACAGGCTTTTTCTTTTTCTTCTTGAATAGTAAGCTGTCCGAAATCTGGTGCGGTGCAGTCATCTGAACCATCTACACAGGACATACCTGTAGAGGAACAAAGCAATGGACTTGGGAAAGCCAGGAAGGAACTTAATGGTGATCCTCCAAGCAGCATTCTTAAACAAGAGTCTGACGCTAGTGATGGATTACAAGAACAAGACTCTTTGTCAAGTCAACATACTGGCAGCATTTCTGGTGGCAAGAATTCAACACAGTTGACAGAAGTTAAGCCACCTATTGATCAGGATGAAAGGACGGTAGTTTCTAAATCTCTTTTAAAGACTGGGGCTGCAAAAGACTTGGACTTTGATCTTTCAAGCGATAGTGATAGTGAGACTGAAAACAGGAAACCGCCGTCCCCTCCTTCACCTGGGAATGAAAATGAATGTAAAAGAAGTTGTAGAAAGTCAAAACCGTTAGACCAGGAATCTGGTGTTGTACAAGAATCCTGCACACAAGATTTACCTGAAAAAACAGTGCACTGAAAACCATAACAGTGATGAAAGACTGACATTGGAAACAAAAGATAAACTGCCTACAGGAGATGACAATATGGAAGTTCAGGGAGTGGACCAAGATAGCTTTTGTGACTTGGGTAATGGTTGTACAGACAAGAAAGAGGTAGAAACGGAGTCCCAAAATAGTGAGCAGTCTGGTATTACAGTAGGAGAGTCACTAGATCAGAGTATGGAAGACGATGATGGTGATAGCGATGATGTTGATGAAGATGATCATTTAATATACCTTGAGGAGATTCTTGTTAGAGTACATACAGATTACTATGCAAAGTATGATCGATTCCTGAAGAAGGAATTGGAGGAGGCTCCTGATATTCGTAATATAGTGCCAGAGCTGAAAAGCAAAGTTTTGGAAAACACAGTGATTGCATTCAGTGGACTTCATCCTACAAACTTTCCCATTGAGAGGACACGGGAATACTATCATGCCAGAGCTTTGGGCTCAAGGATTAGCAAACAACTGGTTTTAAATGAAGATGAACCAAACTGGGTGACACACCTTATTGCAGGAAGGGCAGGTAGGTGAACTACTGTTATATGAAGTACACTTAGGCATGTCTTCATAAATCAGGACAGTGGCTAAAGTTTTAGAAACCTGACACTGTTTTGTTTTACATTATTTTTGCATTATAAGAAAGGATGACTACAGACCTCATGAGCGCTAATTAGTTAACTTATGATATTCTTGTGGTCCCAGCTATGGATTAATTGCTATGCGCATTCGTTTTAACCGCTTAAGGACCGCCCTATAGCAGATATACTGCTACAGGGCAGCACATGTGCGCAGGATCACGTGTATATATACGGGGTTTTTTTATTTCCGGGTAGGGGGGCGCGCACCGTCATTCGCAGCTGCGGATGTCAATTACCCACCTGCGCCCAGTGATTACTGAGCATCTCAGACTGGGAGGAAGATTGTTTGTAAACAAAACAATCTTCCTCCCTGTTAGCTCAAGCACATTGCTCGGGATCGCTTTGCACAGTACAGCCATCCTGATCAGTGTGCTTGCAGTGAAGAGCACACCCCCCTGCCCGCTAGTAAGACACTCCCAGCACACAGTTAACCCTTTGATCGCCCCTCACATTAACCCCTTTCTGCCCAGTACCATTAGTACAGTCAGTGTTGTTTTTTGTTTTTGTTTTTTTTTTTTTTATATATCACTGATTACTCTATTGGTGTCAGTGCCACCAAGTTAGTTCCCCCCCCAATGTCAGAATGTCCGCCGAAATCCCGCTAAAAGTCGTTGATCGCCGCCCTTACTAATAGGGAAAAAAAATCCCATTATCTATACCGCCATTTGTAAACACTAGAACTTTCACGTAAACCAATTACTGTATTTTTCGCTCCATAAGATGCACCTAGGTTTTAGAGGCAGAAAACAAGAAAAAAAATATTCTGAACCAATGGACTGCAGACATAGTACAGGAGATGACCAGAGACTATAGACACAGTACAGGAGATGACCGGAGACTGCGGACACAGTACAGGAGATGACCAGAGACTGCGGACAGTACAGGGGATGACCAAGAGACTGCGGACAGTGCAGGAGATGACCAGAGACTGCAGACAGTGCAGGGGATGACCGGAGACTGCGGACACAGTACAGGAGATGATGACCGGAGATGCGGACACAGTACAGGAGATGACCAGAGACTGCAGACAGTACAGGAGATGACCAGAGAGGGGATGCAGACAGTGCAGGGGATGACAGAGACTGCGGACAGTGCAGGGGATGACCAGAGACTGCGGACAGTGCAGGGGATGACCAGAGACTGCGGACAGTGCAGGGGATGACCAGAGACTGCGGACAGTGCAGGGGATGACCAGAGACTGCGGACAGTGCAGGGGATGACCAGAGACTGCGGACAGTGCAGGGGATGACCAGAGACTGCGGACAGTGCAGGGGATGACCAGAGACTGCGGACAGTGCAGGGGATGACCAGAGACTGCGGACAGTGCAGGGGATGACTGCTATTTGGGGAGGGAGGGGGAGCGGGTACCTGAATTTGACAGGTACCCGCTCCCTCTTCCGCAGAGTTGTCCTCCCATCAGTGTGGGCACCCGGCTGACAGCCGGGTGCCCAGTGTGCATGTGCGAGAAGCACTACGCTTTGTGATTGATCTGGCGTCTTCTGGGACCTGTCATGTGTCCCAAAAGACGCCGTACCATTCACAAAGCGTAGCGCTTCTCGCGCACGTGCACCAGGCACCCGGCTGTCAACCCGAGAGCCCACACTAAAGAAGCCGGCGCGGAAAGACTGCGCAGCGCTGGACAGAGGAACAGGTAAGGTCCTGCTGCAGAGCTGAGCGGCCAGCCCGGTATTCTGACACGGCGGCGGTGGAAATACCAGACTGGCCGCTCCATATTCGCTCCATAAGACGCACTGACATTTTCCCCCTTTTTTTGGGAGGAGAAAAGTGCGTCTTATGGAGCGAAAAATATGGTAATTCACATGTATTGGGATTTTTATTTTTTTTAGCAAAGACATGTCGCAGAATACATTTTGACCTAAATTTATGACAAAATTAGATTTTTATTTTTTTTATTTTTTACAGGACATGTTTAATAACAAAAAGTCAAAAATAGGCTTTTTTTCTCAAAATTGCCGTCTTTTTTTTTTGCTTATAGCGCAAAAAATAAAAAAAAAAACAGGCGATCAAATACCACCAAAAGAAAGCATTTGTGGGGAAAAAAAGTATGGACATTTCATTAGGGTGCAGCGTTGCATGACCGCGCAATTGTCAGTTAAAATAAAGCAGCACCATAACTAAACAAATGGCCTGGCCATGAAGGGGGGTAAATCATCAGGAAGGCAAGTGGTTAATGTGTAAACTCAAATGCCTTACTAAAATTCTTTCTTTAGATCTATGGTGGTCAGCTTGAAAATTGTAGAGGATCTCGAGCACTGCCTTTTGAGAATAACTGGGTGGAACAGTAGCAGCTAGTTTTCAAATGTTCATTTCAGCAAGTTAGGCAGCCCATTCATGGTGTGTGATGTACCTCAATACTGAAAAATGTCCCTCGCGCTGTGACACCAGCATTGGTATCACTGACCACAATAGTAACCTTCAGCATTTGTGTTTAGTGGATGCAATAATGCCTTCCTCATTGGTATCAGTAACTGCAATAATAACCCTCAGCAATGGTGTCCGTAACACAGAAATAACACCCACAATGGTTATCAGTATTATTCTATTTAAACACCCCTTCATTGATAGTCAATGACAGTATTGTTAAGTCTCCTGCATTGATGGTCAATAGCAGTTACCTAACTAACCTCCCCAACCTAAATTGATGGTTAGTGGCAGTGTTGCTTAACCCAGTTGGACCTGATTTTGGTGTTCAGTGACTGTGCTGTTAACCCCCCCCCCCCCTTTCTGCTCACATGTTGGTTGGCAATCAATGTAGGAGAGTATTACATTTCACCACCAGTGTGTGGCGATATGAGTGACCACTCACATTGGTGGTCAGTGAAGAATGTAAAAGAGTTTTCACCCATGCTCCCTTGAATTAGGTGCCCAGTACAAGAGCCATGTGTGAGGGGCACAGGGACTTTATATGAACAAATACCAGTTGTCTGTGTTATGTCCCAGTTTTTTGCAAGGATGGTTCATCTTGTTTAAGTATGTGAACCCTCACCTTGTAAAACAACCCATTCAGTTTAAAATAGGAATGAAAGACAAGACATTTGTGTGTAGATATTAACAACAATTATAAGTATCTTTTCCCTTGTTTTATCAGTGATCACATACCCTCTAAGCTCCTACTGCAGCTGAAAACAGATTGCTGAGGAAGGAGAAATAGCAGGACACTGAACTTTCCAGCGAATAGTTTGGGGGTATCAGCAGATGTCTGACCTTTTGGGGAAGGGGTATCAGCAGAAGGGGGGGGGGGATGTCAGCAGAAGTCTGATCTGTGGAGGACAGCACATGGAGTTCCCAGCACAGCTAGAGAACTGACCATGCTGTTCACACAAAGGCACAAGGAAGCAATTCGAATAGAACATGCTACTTTTTCATACAACTACATGGTACAGCAGGCACATATCAGGAATATGAAATGTTGGGTTTGCATATTCTTTAAGGTTCTAAGATGTATTTTTTAAGTATTCTAGTTAACTTGTATACAAGTACAAAAGCAAAGCACATAATCCCGAACTGACCTGAACCTGTCTAAAAAGTCAGTGTACAGTAGACATATGACTGTCTTATTCAGTGGTTTAGGCATTATTGCAAAGCTTAACCGCTTTGTGATTACGTTGTTATGCTAGCAGCCTTTTCTTGATTCATGGAGCATGCTTGTTTTGGGACAGCAAAGCTAAACCGGAAGTAGTTTGCTACCTCATGAACTGCCTGTTCCCATCAGTCTTATCACACAGGTGTCCTCCTTGACAGATGCTTTTTTAAAGTTGCTCTCCCATTATCACTGAACTGTCATGAATGAGTTAGGTTTTTGACAGCATAAGATAGTGACCTGTTATTGGCTAGAGCTGACCACATGGGACAGGGTGCTGTGATTGGCCACATGTATCATGTGACAGCTGTGGGACAATCACAGCTCACTAGGAGGAGAAGCAGAGCTCTTATGAATGAGATTGATTCATAACAGCTTTGCTTACATTGTGATCATGTGAATTCTGGGTCCCGTTCACCGGGATCTTCATTCTGCTGTCGTGGGGGTGGGGGGAGCTCAGCACACCTGCTCAGGCGCTCTGTGCCCCCCTGTGTTGGTACAGCCAGAGTGACGTACAGGTAGGCCGCTTTGCCTGTAGCTGCCGCCCAGCCGTAGTACATTGCGGGCAGGAAGTGGTTAAACAAAATTTATACTGTTCGCATTCTAAATTCTTGCTATTTGTGCTGTGGAAATATGTTTGCTTTTCAAAATGTGAAAAACGTACATTTGCTGGAGTTGTGACTAGGAGATACATTTTTTTTAACAAATGACCCAATGCATACTGGTCATTTAGCCCCAGTGCATGTGCCTCCAACATTAAGATGTGGACGATGGAAGGCATGGGTGCACCATCCAGCCCAGCTGCTGGTAGATTGTTAAATTCTATGAGAGACTAGTCACAACACTTCGATTTATGTGCAATTTCAGCATAGTTTCAGGTGCAATTTCTGAAGACTTTATTGCTACTGATTTATTGCTGCTGAAGATTTTCAAAGATTTCTTGCAATTTGCAGTGCGACTTCCATTTTATCTATGTATGTGAAATCGTAACAAAACTGCAGAAAAAGTAATGCAAGAACTACTTTAGAAATGGCGCTGCAGCAAATCGCACATGTTAAGACACTGACATTCACGTTCATTAGATGCGATTTCAGGTGTGATTTCAATTTTCAAATCACACCTGAAATCGCATTAGTATGACTGGGCACTAAAAGCTGCTGCCTCTGTTAGGGCCTGGGCAGTATATACTGCCGAAAATGTTAGTATGCACAGTCCAGCCAGAGCAGTTGTCAGCCTCTCATAGTTCTTTAGGCTGCCAGCAGTGGGGGGGTGTACCTGTTCCTTTTATTTCAATTTTGGATAGAGTGGAGAAGGATTAGAACACCTGCTAGTTTTTATTGCTGTCTGTGCCCCAGTTAGAGATATTAACCCTCTATTTGTCCTGTTTTACCATTATAATTGAAAGTAAAAGAAAATCCCAAATTTTGGGTTGTCCCCAGAAAAGTAATAGAAGTAATAGAGAGGAAATCTTTCAGTGGGGACACTCCGGTGATCTGGGGGTCCCTACGAAATTCTCTTAATTTGCCGGCATTTCTTCTCACTTCCTGTTTAGCTATGGGGCTGGACGTGAAGGGAAATCTCCACAATGGGACACAGATGGCAATAAAATTAAATAAATAAATTGACAGGGGTGCCCAGTGCGCATGAGGCCTAAGATGTTGCTTTTGTAACCACTTGCCTACAGGGCACTTATACCCCCTTCCTGCCCAGGCCAGTTTTCAGCTTTTAGTGGTGTCGCACTTTGAATGACAATTGCGCGGTCATGCAACACTGTACCCATATGAAATTTTTATCATTTTATCATTCTTTTGGTGGTATTTAATCACCTCCTGGTTTTTTTTTTTTTTGTTTCTTTTTTATAAAATTTTGTAATTAAGTGATTTTTCTCCTTCACTTGTGTGTGTGCTAATGAGGCTGTACTGATAGGTGGCACTGACGGGCACTGATGAGGAGGCACTAGTAGGTGGCACTAATGGGCATTGACAGGCATCACTGATGGGCATTGAAAGACAGCGCTCATAGGTGGCACTGTTAGGCGGCACTGACTGGCACTGATAGGTGACACTGATCGGCAGCACTGATAGGTGGCACTGACTGGCATTGATAGATGGCACTTAAAGGCAGCTCAGATGGGCACTGATATGTGGCATTGATGTGCACTGGTAGGCACTGATATGTGGCATTGATGAGGCACTGGTGGGCACTGGCAGGTGGCACTGATGAACACTGGCAGCTGGAATTGATGGGCACTGACAGGTGGCATTGCTAGGGCTACACTGATCATCAGGGCACACTGATCATCAGTGCCCTGATGATCAATGTACATGTCCTGAGCATGACCGCTCGAGAGGAGAGAAATGCCGATAACCAGAATTTCCCTATTTACATGCAAGCAGCTGTGATTGGACACAGCTGATCACATGACCGAGCCGACCTCTGCGGTTCTTTCCGTTGATCAGTGATCCGCTATGTCCGAGGGACTCGACGCACCACTGGTCGCCGCGCTCCCGGAGCCGCGTACGCACAGTTAGAGTGGGAGGACGTCATATGAAATCCTGAACAAGAGAACCGCCTTGCGCCCATTATTACCTTATATGGCGGGCGGGAGGCGGTTATAGCGCGCGTGTGTGTATTCGTGTTCTGAACTTCAAAAAGGAAAAAAAAAAGTATGCATGGTCTTTCCTAAAAGTTGGGCACACAGTTTTCAAACTTTGGGTTGCAAAAAAAGAGAAGAATGCATTACTGACACTAAATTCCAAGAAAACATTCTGTTTGCTGCTCCACTTCCAAATTCCTGCTCCTGTGATCAGATTTGTTAGATCTAGGGACTGTGAACTATGGGATCTGTAGTGTGCATAAAGCAACACACATGACCACTAATGTGCAATGCTTGTTTCATAGAAACAGAAGAGAGAAGGGCAAAAGGAGATGTCCAGGAGGTCAGAAGACATTACAAGGAGGCAGGAAAAACAAAGTAAAAATGTTTAATGAAAAATAGATTACAGGGCCACTAAGTAGTTGATGTGTGTGGATTATTTTTTTTAAGACTAAGGATAACATTTAGTGTCTGTTCTCATGAAAGTTAATTTTTGTGGGCTAAACGGTGGCAAGTGTACTGGAGTCTCTGGTAGCGATCCAGCGCCTGTACTGCTGTCAGATCATTTCTACCTGAAAGCAGAGAACTGGATTTTAAGATTACATGCACCCCGCCCTTGCTGCCACTCATGTATGACATACATAGGTTGCAGTTAAAGGGATAACATTTTATCATAGCATATTCAAACATTCATATTGGTTTTATCCCTTTTTAGAATCTGTGTATTTTTTTCTTTGATATAAGCACTGTGTTTTTGACTTCAGGTACTGAAAAAGTTAAGCAAGCTCAGAACTGCAAACATCTTTATGTTGTGAACCCAGACTGGCTTTGGAGTTGCCTGGAGCGATGGGAAAAAGTAGAAGAGCAACTCTTTCCTTTAAAAGAGGATTACTTAAAGTCTCAGAGGTATGCATTAGGTGATGTGTGTGTGTGTGTGTGTGTGTGTGTGTGTGTATACACACACAGTGAAGGAAATAAGTATTTGATCCCCTGTTGATTTTGAATGTTTGGCCACTCAAAAAAGAAATGATTAGTCTAAAAAATCGAATGGTAGGTGTATTGTACCACTGAGAGACAGAATAGCAACAAAAAATTCAAAAGAAATGCATGTCTAACAAATTATGCACTAATTTGCATGTTCACGGAGCGAAATAAGTATTTGATCCCCTATCATTCAGCAGGATTTCTGGCTACCAGGTGTCTTTCATATAGGTAACAGCTGAGAACACAAGCTGTCTCTTAAGGGGAGTGCTGCTAATCTCATTTTGTTATCTATATAAAAAAAACACCTGTCCACAGGATCAATCAAACAATCAGATTCCAAAAACTTCACCATGGCAAAGACCAAAGAGCTGTCCAAGTATGTCAGGGACAAGATGGTAGACCTACACAAGGGTGGACTGGGCTACCAAACTATCATCAAGCAGCTTGATGAGAAGGTGACAACAGCTGGTGCAATCATTCGCAAATGGAAGAAACACAAAACAACTGTCAGTCTCCCTAGGTCTGCTGCATAATGCAAGATCTCACCTTGTGGAGTCCATGATCATTAGAACAGTAAGGAATCATTCCAGAACTACACGTGAGGATCTTGTCAGTGATCTCCAGGCAACTGGGACCACAGTCACCAAGAAAACAATTGGTAACACAGTACACTGGCAAGGATTGAAATCCTGCAGTACCCGCAAGGTCCCTCTGCTCAAGAAAGCACATGTCCAGTCCTGTCTGAAGTTTGCCATTGAACACTTGTATGATGCAGAGGAGGACTGGTTGAAAGTGTTGTGGTCATATGAGACCGAAATCGAGCTCTTTGGTATCAACTCAACTTGCCGTGTTTAGAGGAGGAAGAATGCTGCCTATGACCCCAAGAACACCATCCCAACTGTCAAACATGGTGGAAACATTCTGCTTTGGGGGTGTTTTTTCTGCTAAGGGGTCAGGACAACCACATCAAAGGGATGATGGACGGGGCAATGTACCGTCAAATCTTGGGTGAGAACCTTCTTCCCTCAGCCAAGGCATTGAAAATGGGTCGTGGAAGGGTTTTCCAGCATGACAATGACCCAAACCACATGGTCAAGGCAGCAAAGGAGTGGCTCAAGAAGAAGCACATTAAGGTCCTGGAGTGGCCTAACCAGTCTCCAGACCTTAACCGATTGAAAATCTGTGGAGGGAACTGAAAGTTCAAGTTGCCAAACATCAGCCACCAAACCTTAATGACCTGGAGAGGATCTGCCAAGAGGAGTGAGCCAAAATCCCTCCTGAGATGTGCGCAAACCTGGTGGCCAACTACAGGAAACGCCTGCCCTCTGTGATTGCCAACAAGGGATTTGCCACCAAGTACTAAGTCATGTTTTGTGAAGGGGATCAAATACTTATTTCCCTCATGAACATGCAAATCAGTGCATAATCTGTTAGACATGCATGTCTTTTGAATTTATTTGTTGCTATTCTGTCTGTGTTACAATACACCTACCACTTGATTTTTATACTGATCATTTCTTTGTGAGTGGGCAAACATTCAAAATCATCAGGGGATCAAATACTTATTTCCTTCACTGTATGTATGTTTATATATATATATATATATATATATATATATATATATATATATATATATGTGTGTGTGTTTTTATATGTTTTATTAATGCAGCACAAATTAATAAATAGTGTAATATGCAGAATGTCAGTCCCAAGGTGATATGTTCCAAATTTTGGGGATTTGTAAGTGTAAATACAATTTGTTTAACCCCTTCCCACCGACTGTACGCATACATGCAGCCTCATGGAAGTGGGTCTTTATCCGTGAGGCAGCATGTATGCGTATCTCTCTTTGTGCTGTCAGTTCGCCGCACAGCATGCTCCCAGCACAGAGACCGGGCTCTCACCAACTATCCAGACCCGGGACTTCAGATCCGTTTCACCTGATTGCTGTGATAGCCTTCAATTGGCTAACACATTGATAAGTCATTGTGAGCCTGCCCCTGTATTTACTTCTGCTTCTGAATGAAGGAAATGATACATTGTCTCTTTATCTTGTTGCAGGAGAGGAAGATGTAAACAAACAAGTGTTTAAAAATAAATACATAAAAAATAAAAAGACTAGATCAAGGTTTCATCTAGGTCAGTGCCAGGGTTAGGGTCGATGTAAGGGTCAAAGGTCTGGGGTCATAGATCGTAGTTGTAATATTTTGGTTAGTGCCAGTCTGCACAATTCACTAAAGGTTATCACGTGCACTATGATGGTCACATGACCACATAATGCATGCGATTATGAAAATGTAAATTCACTATTTCTTATATAAGGTATTTAGCGCAAACACCAAAAACACTTGGTAAATACCGCATAATAAGGTATTAAAGTCAATTCACAGAAGGAAATAAATGTATGCTGAAATTTAAATAGTGATCCAAGCTTGCAATAGTTATGACAATGGTCAGACCCAAGGTAGGAATTCAATGACTGGTTTCCAGCAGGAAAATGCAAGCTGGAGCAGGTGGCAGCTAGATTCCACTCAGGAGTTGTTTCTAGAGGCTGGCAGACTGCATAGCACAGAAGACTGAGCCCCTTGAATCCCCTTTAAAGTAATAGAGCAGGAGGAGAAGATCTCGAGTGGTCCTTTTAAAGGAAAAATGCTTTAAGGTGCACACATTGCTACATAAATACACGGATGCTGATACCCCGCAGAAGTTCTAGTTACCCAAGGCATGAACTATGGAGCTGCATAACCAACGCATAGGGTACTTTAAGCCCTCAACCGAGAGAAGCTATGCCATACCAGCCATGACTAAATTGTTGGGTGCATTACATTTTTTGAGAAAGCATCCTATCAGATGGTAGTTGGCGAGATAGTGGAAATTTCACAGGCCTCAATTTCACATCTCTTCACCAATATACTGTACAGTTTCCATGCAGTAGCAGCCCAATACATATTTTTTCCACAATCAGGAGTGGGATCAAAGCAAAAAGGATTATCGTATCGCCAGAATCTCAGATGTTCTAGGTGCAATTGACTGTACGCCCATTTGCTTTTTTTGCACCATCGTTTAAGGAGCATATCTAACACAACAGGAAATTTACCATTCCTTAATTATCCAAGTGGTATGTGATGCCAATCTGATTGTTGTGAATGTAGTGATGTTTATGCAATGTGCTCATGATAATTACCGCATGAAACCATGTGGTAAGTTAACGCATAATTTGGAAATAAAACGCATAGAAGATTTTAAGGAGCATTTCTTCATGAATTAATTCATGTTTTACTTTACGCTGTGATATTTTTCCGCATACTTGGATGCAGTAAAATATTGCTTAGCGAATTGTGTCCAGTATGTTTTAGGTAGGATGATAAAAGGCAATATGCGCACCATAGTTACTGGGCTCTACTATGGGTACAACCAACAACTAACATACACATATGTGGTATCTCTGCGATCAACAGGAGCAGGATAAATTATTTTGGCTTGTTCTTTGGTGGAAAATTATGATAATGGAAAGAAATATACAGCTAACTTTTTTTTTTTTTTTTTTTACCATTTTGGACCAGTTTTTCTATAAAGAAAAATCAGAAGATATCAGTTACCATTTATCACCAGAATAAAGTCCAATTTGTCCTGAAAAAAAAAAACAAGGTATAGTCAGCCTGGATTCACAAAGTAGTTGTGGTGATATGTACGGTTTTTAGGAATACATGTCAAAAGTTGCAAAATTGTGTTTAGGCGTTAACAGTTGCTACCTTTAGTCACTAAGGGGTTAATAGAATTATCAGTATAGTTAAATATTTCATAGGGCTTTGAAGCAATTTTTTGCTTTTTTTTTTGCTATGTTTTTCTTAAACGCAGATTTTTTTTGGCTTATTTTTCTTCAACAGAGCACTTAGCCCCACCACCTTCCCAGACATTCATACTGCATTTCAGACTCCACTCTATCATCCTACCCCTATTCACCCCAAGACTCGGCCAGGTCCAGATGTCCGACAGTATGACCCAGTCACTGGCAAGCTTATTCGAAAAGGATCACAGGGTTCCAGTCAGTCGCCATACATTCAGTCACCGTGCCCATCTCTAGGCCTAGCTGTCCATGGAGAACATTCATCCTTCAGGTACAAAGAAGCACTAATGTGGGACTGTATTTTTTTTAAGGCATTTTACTTGTGTTGGTGTGATATTTCAACCATTGCTTGCATTTCAATCTACATTGTATTTGCTTTTTGTGTAAGCAATCCACCACCACACAATTGTCAAGAGATTACAATGTATATTACTGGGGTTGGATGAGTTCATTGTAGTAATCTTTAGTAGGAGCATTGCATCCTCTCAGTTTATACAATATGTGCAATAGGCACTTTTTTTGCTGATTTAGCAGTATTTCAGTATATTTGAACATTCATTGTTGGTTTTCTAATACAAGAGAGCTTACATTTTGGTAATAGCAAACCAAAACTTCTGAACAGAGTAGTGAAGGGTTTCAACTTCTTTGGGTTTAAGATCTTTCCTCACTTCTGTTGGTTGCTTTGAGATTTAACATTTTTTTTCTAAAATAAAATAAAAAGGTTCTTACACCACACAACAAAAGTTTTATCCCATCAGTGACCATTCTGCAGCGTATGTACATTAACCAGTCGGTGACCGGTCTGCAGCTTAAGTGCCTTAACCTCTCAGTAATTAATCTGTCACAGGGAAAAACGTTGCCCCTCAGTCCTCCAGCTTCTAGGTGTCAATTGTTGCCCCTCATTGTCTATAGTGATCTGTTTCAGGGGCATGTGCATCACCCCTTTAGTGATGAATATTCCATGTGTGTGCAGTGACCTGTTCTCTGCCTAAAATCCATAACCTCCAGCCCCTGCTCAGGTGGTTAACCCCTCAGAGCCCATTCCTCTCTGCAGTGTGGTAGCTTCTCAATATTC